TAGTTTTAACTCATATTTATTAATATTTCAAGAGAATATGCCCTAAAGTGTCCTTTAAAGGGGCACCAGCGTAGCGGGTTATCATAAATGATTCATGTATAGTATTGTGCAGCTTATTTCTGAGTCTCATTTTGGCTTTCTTTCCCTTGGCTCCCAGAAAAGGTTGACTAGCATTATGTTTTTTTTGTTAAAGTGGGTATGCAAACTAAGAAAATGTATTTTACTGTTTAGGGCTTCTTATTAATATTCAAGGCTAAGTTGAACAGTTATGTAGTGCATACAGCTGCCTGCTAACGGTCAGTAATATTCAATATGAAGAATAGCAAGGAAGTAATAGAACGGTCCCACGTGGAACAGCTTAGTATTGAACCGATTTTCCTCTTTTTGAAAGTTATATTGTTAGGCAGGTGAGCTTTTCAGAAAGTAGCTCTTTTGCCTGTATCTTATGATTCTGTTGAAATAGTAGCATGTGTGTGTATTTGGATCTGTGAGGAAATATCTGCTGTAAGTGGGACTGGAGCTGTAAGCCTCTGAAGCTCAAAGGAAGGTGGTGAGTGTTGGACCATGTCAGGAAAGGAGTTTTCAGGGCTACTGGGGTGGCTGAGACACCTGATAGGGGGTCATCAGGCAGGTGGGAAGTAAATGGTGTGAGGGGAAATCAATGGGGGTGTGTGTGAAGACTTAAAGTAGCATGGAGTGCTCATGTTTGGTTTTGTGCCTCTTGTTTTGAGAGGGTTTGAACCTGAAATGGAAGTCGGGGAGAAGCCAGTACACTTGTGTACTAACTAAAGATATGCTTTTCCTTTGGGGAAGTTGAAATCTAGGTGAAAATTCTCAGCTGACTTTCCAGCATTTAGATGGAGCAGTACCTTGCCATACGGCAGATGTGAGAGATTTAGATAGCTGTCCTTGGAGACCAGAGCAGAAAAGCTCTTCAGAGTTTATTTTCATTACTCTCTGGCATGGTTTAACATTTCTCATGCTTTTGGGGGCTTTAATACTTCCCATGGAGATTACTGTACAATAATCAAACAGATATCCCTGGAAAACTTTCCTATGGACATCCTCAAATGATTTGTTTCATTTCAGTACTTCTTTCTCATTCCCTTGAATTTCCTAAGGAGAGTCCCTCCTTTTTCTGAGTGTGCTTCTGAAGAAAGATGTGAGGAATCAGGAGGGGCTCATTGCTATCATCCACAAGAGACGGGCTGGTTAGCAGGTACCACCTATTTGCTGGAAATTGTTTCACTTTAGATGAGATTGCCTGCTTTTTTTCCCCCTCACTTTATTTTTCTCGTCAGCTTCTCTAAATGCATTGTTATTTTTCCTTGAGTGTTATAATTCTGCACCTTCAAGGATCTTACTATTATTGAAGTTGGGCGTTGACACATTTCCCACAGAAATTCCCATGGTGAATCATGACTGCCTGTTGTCTGCTTCTCGGTTTCTTTGGGAACCGTAGCTCCGAGTGGGCTGTTCATCAGGCCACCAGGTGAGTTACGAGGAAACCAGGCAGGGTCCTATTGGGAGTCTCGTTCGTTCTCACCAGGATCCTGCCGGGTTTTCACAGACACTCGATTTAAAGTAACATTTATCACCTTTAACAGTTGGGACAATTGATGGGAAAAATTGTGCCTGGCCAGTTCTTGTGACATTGGCAGTAGTTAGGAATGGTTTAACTGCAGCAGTAGGATCACAGAGCAACCTTCTGACGGAAGTAGCAAGGGTCAGAAAACCCTTATCATGTGCTAGCTTAAAAGAGGATGGCATTTGTGGTAGTTAGTGATGGCCACTGTGGCTCGGACAGCCCTAGACTTTTTCTTCGTGTGTCTGTTCAAAATGCTACAAAAATCCATCAGAGACTCCTTTTCAAGAAGATAATACTTCTGCTTGGGAGGTCTCCAAGCTACAAGTTGCTGATGAGTGTACTGGGAAGTATCACTGCGTGCTTGCTCTCATCTCGTTCTCTATAGCATATGCTGTTGCCCGTCAGTGGAGGCAAGATTTTGAGCTAAATGAAATCTGGTGGGAATAGCAGTTCATATGTTCGCAATTTTCAGAATAAAAAGTTCCATCTTCATTGGTGGAGAGTAGCTGAATGTTGGAAAAAGTTGTTTTGTGGCTTACTGTCATTATACATTTCCAGATCCAGAAATTGGTTAAGGCCAGGACTACAGTAAAATTCTTTGCTATCAGGATCTATTGCCATGAAGAAAACAAAATTCCAAAAGCCTGTAATACATGCCTACATGGGTAATATGACTGTTGAGAATTCTCATTGTTAATTATATTGAAAAATTAGAGTAATAACATTTATGTTCCAAGGAGCAAGCTAATTGCTAGCTACTAGAATCCAGTTGAAAACTATTATGAGGTGTTCAGTAATCTCATATTTAATTATCGCTGCCTTCTTGCGCCTTCAGCTCAGCGTCTTGTTCTGATCACTTCTGGAGGGGAGGATTAGATGGAGTCCCCAACCTCCCACCCCACTCCAGTGTGTCACACCTCACAGCATGTTTAACTGCTCCTTTCTCCCTGGGTCTCTCCGAGTTCTCCTGTGCAGCTGCACAGCAGTGTGATTCCTGATCTGCTTCGTTTATGGGTTGTTAGAGTGGGGTGCTTTACAGGCAGTTGTCATTCTGTAAATCGTAGGAAGTTACCAGTTGGACACTGAATGCAATATGAATAAATTGAGATATTTCTTTCACATAGTTGTTGTAAAGTTTGGTTTTATGTAAATGGGGTGTTAACTAAGCTACAGAAAATCAGACTGTACCTAATAGAGGTCAGTAGATGATGTTCTCTGCATGGCAGGGTCATTCCGCGGTGGTCAGGTCATCAGTCCTGACATAGAGCGTTCAGTGGTCTTGGTGAGAAGCGGAGCGTTGCAGGAGACATCTGAGCCTTCTAAGGCAGCTTCGGTGCCACAGGCAGCCCTGTACCTGATGGTTTTTTCCATAAGCGATAGTTTCACCTTAAAGTTAACTTCTGTTCATTTGTTCTGCACTTTGGAGGTATAGAAACCTTCCTCATTTGTGGTGTGAACTTAATTCTAGCAAATTTATAGCCATTTGTTCCTGTGTTAACATGGCCACTTTCCATAACTACTCCTTACTCCTTTGTGCACTTCACAGCAGCTCTCTGCACTCAGCCAGCCTTCATCTTGCACAAGGCAGGACAAAATTGTTTTGGGCTCTGCTCCTAAGAGGGGCTCTCTCGTCTCGGGACCGTCCGGCAGCCCTTCTTTGCACCACCGTCTGACTGATGTAATCGTTTTTCAGTAGGCACAACCTGAGTAGTAGGTAACCTTGCAAGTGTGTCTTACCGGTGTGTTGATATGTTTCTTTTCAAGCCTCTGCTGGAGATACCTCCTGTTATGTCTGAGGATTGCATTGGTAATTTATAGTCAGTCTGTGATTAACTGTACCTTGCAGCTTTTATTCTCTTATAATTTCCAAACAATAAATGTGCATTTATGTAAGAAATCCTTGTGACTGTGTGTGTTGTATATTGAGCTTTGATTCTCAGTGGTGTTTGTACCTGCTTGTTCAGAAGGTGTTAAGTATGACAGTGGATACTGGTGATCTTTGGCATTTGGTCTTAGAAACAGACTGTTATAATGTATTACAAGGATCAAATTTGTAATACACAAATATGCTTCAAAATCCTCTTTAGGTAAACCGTGTCTCTTCAATGTCTCTAAAACTCTTGATTTCTCTTTGGAAAGATTTCTCTGTAAAGGCTGTACATCTGCATTGCCGTGTGGCAATATTTTTATACTGACATTTACCACAGAGGAAAGAATGATGAGATAAGCTGTTTAGCTTTGCTTTTTATTGTTGCTGTGTGCAACTAAAGATAAGACTGTGGTTGTCTTCCCACAGAAAGGTGAATGGGTTTTGGTCTCTTTCATGGTGTCTCTTAACTACCATCTGGCCACGGGCTGGTGTCCTACTGTCAGTAAACTTCAAATTCCTGTTAAATTTCTCTCTTAGGGAGAATTTCTCTCTCAGATGGTGGAGAGTTTTAAATTCTGCTTTCAGAAGAAATTTCTATAATCTCTGTAATAAGTATGCTCTATTTTTTTCCTCCCATTATGAACCAGTGTAATAGTAATAGATACAGTATACTAATTGTAGATGCTACAGTAAGAAATGTGGTTCTAATGGTATTATTTGGAAAGCTACTCTCTTTTCTTGTAATCATTCTGGTAATGTCTTTTGTTGATGAGCCCCCCCTAGTGATTTAATTATCATCTTGGGATAAGGAGAAGGACTAGAAATTTAAGAGGTTGTGTTTTTCTTGTAACATAACCAGTATAGGAAGAATCTGTTACTTCTGATGCAAGTTAATGCATCATTTTGTCAAATCAACTTGCATGCTCTTTGATAGTCATCATCCTGTGCTGAAATTGCATTTCAGAAATACCTGCCTTGCTTCTAGACCTCAACAAATAATTTTGTACTGAAATTTTGTATACAAAGAGGACTAGAATCACAATGGATAGACATCTTAACAGTGGGTCAACTGCTGTTACTCCGTAGTGGTAGTAGTCATTACTTCTAAATTAGAGATGGATTAAAAAAAATATATTCTGATTTTTTTTTTTTTTTTAAAATAAGTCACCTAATTCTCAGATGATGTGTGTAGTCAGTTGCTTCCAAAACATGGAAATAATGTTTAAGTTTCTCTGGAACTTGTACTATCAACTCTTCAGAATGTGGGAGGAGGAAAGCAAAAGCTGGATAACACCAACATGATGTAGAGTATGTGTAAAAACGTACAACCATAAGTAGAGGAAAGATGGATCAAAAATATTACTGACTGTTGGCAAAGAGGTCTTAGAGCTGGCGTAGCGCTCACCCAAACTGAGAAGCCCACACAGTACGCAACAGCATGAATCAAGTCTTTCCAGTGACAGGTCTCGAGCATTGTTTTAGTTCGTAGATGTCCAGGATGAAATCTGTACTCATGCTGCAGTATGCTGCTAGAGCGGCATAATGCCTGAAACGTGGTTTCAGGTAAGCAGAGTAACTTTTAATGTTTTAATCTCACTGTGTGCAAATTAAAGTGGGAACTACAACTAAGTATCACATTTCTGACTATTGTATATAATTCATTGTAATTAAGGCTCTGGTATTTAATGCCTCAGCTTTTGGGAGAATATGATGCATTTTTACCCAAACAAGTGTCTTCAGCATTCTCTGCAGTTAAACTTTTTTAATGTGTTTTGATATTCAGGTGTTGATGCTTGAATAATGTCTTGTTCAAGACACTTCTTTAAGTTTTCTTTAGCTTGTCTGTACATTCACAAAGTGTTCAGCTTGCAACTGAGCTGAACTTGTTTGTGATAGTTCTCTTTGTTGCCACATAGCTTAAAAGCACAGCACCCATGTGCCTGATATGTAGAAATACGTCCTGTGCTGAGATCTGGAGTTGCATACAGTGGTACTTCTGCTGTAACTTTCACTTCAGCTAAACATTGTGATTTTCAAATGCTCGTAACAGTTCTGGCAATTTTTTGCGAAAATATTTTATGAATCAAACACAAGCATTTCCATAGTAGTAATTTTCTGTACTTTTGTACGTGTTAAACTGAAATGTTCATGCAGGAAAGCAACAAGCATGTTGTGAATATTATGCAATACTTACTTAAGTTCTACAAGTCTTTAATAACCTTCAGAAACTTTTGTCTTATGAAATTATTTTCATGCTAGGAATGGATATTGTCACTTGAGTGTTGTGAATAAATTAATTACTTGTTTGATCGTATACTCTTCTAAAAGAAACTAATTTATCTAATGTAGATGAAACCTTATATTAAACATTGTGATTTTTTAATTTTGTGTGATATTATCACATTATAACATTTTAAAAGTATTTTGGAAAAAGTGCTCCTCCAGAATTATGGGATAGTGTCCTAGGTCTTTGGGACGTTCAGTATGTTTAGTTGATGGTGGCAGTGCAGTAAGAATCATGACGGAGAAGGCGAAGGCACTGTTGCCAGAGTCTCAGGGCTTTTGTGTTGTTAACAACATTTTATAGTCCTCTGTTTGCAGTGTGCCAAGTTAGTTTGCAGTCTTTAGGCAGATCTGTTCTTGAGTTATAAAATCACGAGTAGGTGGATTTGCAGTTATGCAATGAAAGTTTGTGGGCTCTTTTCTATGTTGGATGAGAATACTACTGTATAATGCTTCTAAGACAGTCTAAACAGCAAGACGGGCTTGAAGGTTTCATGCATTCCCCAGTACAGCTGGCAGCGCTCTTTAATGTTCTGGCCTACGTCTATTTTTTTTAATGTTCTGATTTACCAGTATGTCTAGACTCTTTTTGCCTTTTAAGGCATGGCATCTAAGGGGGCCTTCAGATTGCAATCTTGGGAACGTTGGGATTGCAAGGACATTTTGCACCATTTCCTTTAAACAAAAACAAACCCAAAAAACTTTAATGGATTCCTTAGGACTCCTTTAAGTTCTTGATTGTTTTCTCATTAAAATTCCTTTCTTGTTTTAGTATTTGTGGGATGTTTGATGTTTACTCATAATTGGGATTAAATGGGATTTTAAAGGATACAGACTGATTCTGATAGTCTTAAAATAGAACTTTCACTTTTTAAAATAGCCTAACAGGCTAGTTAAACAGGGGCTGTGCAGATCAAATTCTTGACAAATTTTATGAGTACACCTTTACTTCTTAAAACCAATTAATTTATCCTACTGTTTGTTACAGATTTACAGTACTGTGTTTTAATATTGTTTTGACTAGCCAGGTTTCCAATGCAGGTTGGCTTATGAACATGAATGGGAACACGAAGCCAGGTCAAGTGTTGATTTTAAGAGCTGAGTAGAGAATTCTCATAGGTGAAGCACTAGCCAATTTTTTTTTTTACTTTGTTTAAAAATCATGCAGACACAATCTCAGTAACTTGCTGTGTTCCAGCAGAGAGCATGTGTGTGTATGTACCACACAGAACATGTGTGTGCAGCCTGAAGACAAAAATAGGGTAACTGTATTTATCCGTTTTGTTTAAATAGCAAAGATATGGTACGTTATGAGTTCTTACAGCTTGACTTAATAGAAAATACTAGGGAATGGACTGGAGAGGATACTGTACCCTTGCTGGAAGACTGGGGATGGGAAGTTGGACAATGTACTGAGCGGTTACCTCTCCTGGACATGCTCTCTTGAGCATCCTGCACAACTGTTATTAACAAACTAATAAATGCTGATACAAAACTAGTGACTTCTAGTGACACTATTACATGAGTCTTTAAGACAAATGAGAATTACCAGTGATTTTTAAGGAAGGTAAGTTGCATCTTCCCCTGCCTTGGTGACTGAAAGAGTGGGTTACTAAACTTTTTTGAACTCAGCTGTTGAGCTAGATTTTTTTTTTCCCCATTTTGTTTCCTGTAGTCAGTTTTTACTCTGTGTTGCTATTGTAGTAAAGCCTGCATGAGGAGGACTAGCAGCAAATGGGACTAATGGAAAAATACTTTATTCTCCTCCCTCCCACCCTTCTGACCCCACTATGTGCAGCTGGCAGTGGAAGATGCAGAAGACTCAATTTATACAAAATTATATTTAGTGCAGCACTGAAGAAATGTATGATATTTTTCGGACCTATTTTTACCTAGCTTGTTCTCCTGATTTCGACTGGGATAGAGTTAATTTTCTTCCTAGTAGCTGGTATAGTGCTGTGTTTTGGATTTAGGATGAGAACAACGTTGATAACACGCTGATGTTTTAGTTGTTGCTAAGTAGTGCTTACACCAGCCAAGGACTTTCCAGCTTCCCATGCTCTGCCAGGGGCACAAGAAGCTGGGAGGGGGCCCAGCCAGGACAGCTGACCCAGACTGGCCCAAAGGATATCCCATACCATATGATGTCAGGCCCAGTATAGAAACTGGGGGGAGCTGGCCAGGAGGGAGAGGACCGCTGCTGGGTGATGGGCTGGGCATCGGTCAGTGAGTGGCGAGCAATTGCATTGTGCATCACTTGGTTTGTATATGCTGTTATCATCGTTATTATTTTCTCTTCCTCTGCTGTCCTATTAAACTGTCTTTATGTCAACCCATGGGTTTAACTTTTTTTTTCCTGACTCTCCCTCATCCTGGGGTGGGGGGGCAGGGTGTGAGCAAGCGGCTGTGTGGTGCTTAGTTGCCAACTGGAGTTGAACCATGACATTTGTCTAAGAACATGATATGCAAATGCTAGTAAAATTGTAATAAAATTGGACTTGAAGAAACTTAGTTGAGTAGTTTTACTGTTTAAGAATTTCCACTTTTCTGTTATGTGCGTGATTTAATTATGGTTTTTACCAGCACTCTGGAGCGCTGTTCTGAAGTCTGATGAGGACGTATTGCAGCGGTTAGTCTGCCAGAGTTCCCTTTGCTTTGTGGCGTGTCTCTCTCTGCTCCTCTGGCCTAGGCATGGGTACGCCGAGGCTTGCGGAGGTGGCTGTTGAGAGAATTTTTACTGTCTGACCTTGGTGAGTTGCAGCTGCCTCTGAGGAACTTGGTGTGTCTTGCACCAGGCAGTATTGTTAGAGAGACTAGTTGGTGATGTTTGGGAGTTAGAGGTGGCTATAAAAAGCTATCCTTGCAGATGTCTGTCAAAATGAGTATGAGACAATGAATGGGAAAATCAAGCCTCAAATATCAGCATATGGTGAAAAGGGGGGGGGGAGACACCCTACCTCCTATAATGTACTGTTTTATGTCCACTCACTGAAGCCATTGGCACAATTTAGTGTACTATAGATACAGAATAAGCCTTTCCATTTGAGTTGTTCACTTCACTGGGTTGTACAGGAATTAAGTGATTAATACAGCATATAAATGGGAAAGTTAGAAATTTATAACTCGGTATGTTGGGATTTTGTTCATTATTGTGTTGCAGGACCTGTTGCGTATGAAAATATTTTGAATTATGATACACATGAATTGTACTTTCTGGGGACTGGAGGCACAGGTTCCTGTGGAAAGAAATTGGTGGGAGAAACTGGTTACGTTTTGCGTGTTTTGATTGCCTTTGTTTAAAGCGTGGCTCTCTATGATCTTCAAATGAACGTTCCTATAGGATGGGGTTACTACAGAACTATTGATGGGCTGTTGTTTATGGGACAGGTGGCATGTTGTATTCCTTTTTCGTCTAATCTGGAAGGTATTTTTGAATCTCATTCATGTTTCTGTGAGGAAATGTAAGGTGCCTAAAACAAATTCCTTCTTGCAACGTGCCTTGGCTTCAGATTCTGTTCACTTGTTCTTTTGGTCGTCTGCTTGGTTGGATAAAACCCGAAATATACCTAAATTGGAGTGATTTTTTGTTTGTTTGCATTTTTGTTTGTTTGTTTTGTTAGGAAGATATTTGTGTGTTGGTTGGGTGCGAGTAAATAAGACAAACTCGCAGTCAGGTCTGCAAAGTCACACGAAGTAGGGATGAGTAACTTTTTTACAGGTGCCAAAATAACAGTGGGTGAGATACTGATGGCGATGGGGCTGAGAGTGGGGGTCGCGAGGTGACTTCTCCGGTCCCAACGGGGTGCACCCCTGATGCCAGAAGGCACTGGTGTGAGGGGCCACCTGGGCAGCGACCCTGCTCCTCTAGGGAGAAAGGGGTGGAGGTGGTGGCCACGGCTGTGTCGGATGCTGCAGCCCCGGGGCAACTTGTGCGGAGCAGCGCGGCGTGGGTCTGGTCACTGACACCTCCAGAATGAGCTGGGCGGGAGTTGTGCAAAGCAGGGCTTCACAACTGTCTGCCTGTTCAGTTATTACCTTGAATGCTAAGATGGGTTTACTTTGAGGACAATATAAATGTAATGTGAAAAAAATCTTAAATTATTTAGCAGTAACAGGAAGAACTATGTTTGGTTTTTTTCTTTAAAAAAGCCCAAACATAAAATATTTCTATACTGTAAAATACTATTTGTTTAATAGTATTTGAACTGGAATTGGTTTTGCATTTATCGAGCAGATCAGAATGTTTGTTGTATAGGTGTGTCCAAGCAATAAGCAAAGCA